TATACGAAACACTACAATACATCGAATTAAAGTAAACTTCAGGGACATTTATGAATCTATATATGTAAAATCGCGAATCTGTCTGTCTGTCTGTGTGTCTGTGTGTCGTCGGACCATACGCAGTTTCATTGGACGGCGGTTGCCCCTGGCAACGGGTAGCGACGCCTTCGCCGCTTTCATTGGACGGCGGTTGCCCCTGGCAACGGGTTGCGACGCCTTCGCCGCGGGCTGCAGTTTCATTGGACGGCGGTTGTCCCTGGCAACGGGTAGCGACGCCTTCGCCGCTTTCATTGGACGGCGGTTGCCCCTGGCAACGGGTAGCGACGCCTTCGCCGCGGGGTGGACGCCATTTTTAATTCCCGTTAAAAATAGGCACACGCATTAACACGCGACTCTGAGGTAAATTCATCAAAGTTTCACGTCCTCTTCACTCCCCCCCCACCACAATGTGTGCAATTACTATTATAGGGTCGGTAGATTATAAAATTATAGCGATTAGACAGTATTATTGCAGCGCGGGGGGGGGGGAACGGCACCCGTACCCAGCCTCTGCCGGGTGGGCAATTTAGGCGAGGCCGGAGGCTCTGCACGCTGCTAGGCCTCGACACCCACCACGTGACTCTGAGGTAAATTCATCAAAGTTTCACGTCCTCTACAGAGTGGTGAGGGAGGGAGAGTGGCGAGGGAGGGAGAGTGGCGAGGGAGGGAGAGTGGCGAGGGAGGGAGAGTGGCGAGGGAGGGACTCAGCCTCAAAACGAGGGACTCAGCCTCAAAACGAGTAACTGGTGTGGCGTATTAACATCGCCACTGGGGAGACAAAGGCGGCCGGGCGTGGTGGATCCAAGTCCCGGGCGAAGCCGGGTACTTATGCTAGTTCACCTATAACCATTTTAGAGAGGTAAGACCGGTACTAGATTTGCACAAAATTTCTGTACGGTCTGTTTTGGATGCCCACAGTCGCACACATTCTGGGCAAATCCAACACCATGAATGTTTATCCAGAAAAGCCTCAATGAGTGTCAACTCTTTTTTTAGAATGGCCCGGTCAAGTTTTCACAGCAGGGGGCGATGTTGCTATGTATAATGCCATCTTCTTGGTTCTTTCAGTAAAGTCACGTGACTTTATCGGAAAAACCAAGAAGATGAATCCTTGCAGTCACGAAAGCTTTAAATCGAAATGTATGATGCCAGTTGAGTACTATGATTTCTAAGTATTTTTTTCCCCGTTTGGGATTTTGGCCAATACCAGTTGCTTTTGTTAGCTACAAGAGGAAACCGGAGAACCCAGAGAAGGCTCATGAAGAACAGGGGGAGAAGATACAAACTCCACACATACAGGGGCCCGAATTGGGAATGAAACCCAGGCTCTACTTGTTGTGAGGTACAAGTGTTACCACTGCGCCACCCTCACACCCAAAGCATGTGGCCGAGGCATGGCTTCTGTAAACAGATCATTCAGAATAACTGTTTTGTTACATGATGAATAGCTACATTCAAATATGTTTTTTTAGTGTTCGTTTTAATCAATTTTTCCATAGAGAATTTTATTATTTAAGCGTTTGTTTGATACTGTACTCATATCAGTTCAAAACTGGTCTTCTTAACATTCTTAACATTTCCTAGATGTCTCAAAGATGTATTGGTCTCAAACTATAAAGTCAATTTCCCAATTTCCCTGCATTTTCATTGCTGTGATCATGGGCTTTTGCCAGAAACGTCAGCCTACTATATTCAGAGTGATCCTTTTATTTATTTAGATACTCCCACTAAATATCAGAGACATTGCAGATAAAACAACATTTTATTTATCATCTCCCTCGCATGTCTCCCACCGATCTCACGACACTTGTAAAATCGTTGTACAATTTGTCCAACATTTTTGTCGGTGGAGTACGCTTACAGCGATCAATGAATGAAGTGTAGGCCCGAGGTCACTGACACCTTGCGGTTTTTTGTCGAGAACACAGACGTGCGGTCTTTGATGCTAACTTGAGAAGGTGAAAAAAAAACCCAGTGGACCACATCAGGCGAGAGTTGGGGGTGGGGAACCTGATTGTTGCCTGTCGGGAAGGGCTCAACTCACGGGATGTCTCTTGTCACCAAATGCACGAGACCCGGTTCATGAGAAATCAGTGGATACATGAATCATTCTAGATTTGAAGCTTTCGTGACTGCAAGGATTCATACTCTTAGGTTTTTTCGGTAAAGTCACGTAGGTAAAAATAAAAGTAAATAAATTAAAAATAATACAAATAATAATAGAAATAACATATTAGAATCATTATTATTGTTAATATAATAATTATTATTTATAATAATAAAAATAATATTAGAAATAAAATAATATAATAATTGTTATTATTTTATTTCTATTATCAGTTGAGGGTTCCGGTGATACGCCGCATCGCAGTGTTCAGTTGGACATCAACAAGTCGAGCGACAACTTCTGGTCCATACTGGTACACAGTACTCGGCTACGGAGTACACAAGGACAATTGTTGATGTCCCTCGCACTGGGTGCTAATGCTCCTGAGCTTGTGCTTTCCAGTTTCTAGACCAGGTTGACCCTTGTTTTGGTCTTGGAAGCTACATTCATCAGGTGGTCGTTGAAGGCTAGTAGTGTATGTTCCAGCTTCACTCCGAGATTGGTTGGAGTGGGGTCGTGTCGCAGTGTTTCCACAGAAGGTCACGTTCATAGTGTGCTTTGGCCTTCCTATTATCAAGATGAAATACAGTGACTTTATTTGTGGGAATTTGGCTTGAGCCTCCATTTCCAGACATATTCCCCCATGGTGTTTAGGTATTGGTTCAGAGCGGATTCGATGTTGTTGAAAGTGGCTGCTAGTGTTGCCAGGGAAAGGTCATTCGCATATAGAAATGTGCGTTGGTGGCATGTGGCTCATATAGATATTGAAGAGCATTGGCGCGAGTACTGAACCTTGTGGCAATTCATTGTTGAGGAACCGAGGTGAGCTAGATTTGTTGCCGACATAGACACAAAGCCATCTATTGCTCAGCATTATCTAAATCAGACATTGTTTCGAGGCAGGGAATGGCCCTTGTGAACTTCAACGTCAAGCCCTTAATCTAAACTGATAACAAATCCACAAAGGTTGCGCCGGACTGGAATTTCTTCTGGAATCCACCCTGGATGTGTGTCGAAAGGGCCAAAACTTGGTCACAGCAGCTACGTCCAGGCTGAAGTCCCGCTTGTTCTTCAGGAATCACTGTCTCGACGAGGGGGCTGATTCTCCAGAGGATTATATGTTCCAGGAGTTCATAGGTTGTGTACAGGAGTGGTATCGGCCTATAGCATCCCAGGTCGCCGGTTGGCTTGCCCGGATTGGGTATGGCAATGACCATTGCCTCCTGCTATGCTTTTGGGATGCATCCGGTTTTCAGAGTTTTTGTGTAGTTATGCCAGCCATTGGAGTCCTAAGTGATGCATGAATTATGGGGGGATACCATCTCTGCCAGAAGCCTTGCCCGTCTTCTTTGCAGCCAGACCCTCCCTTACTTCCTCTGTGCTGATGGCGGTGGGATGTTGTGAAGAAATTGAGGCCATTGGCTGATGTACTGTAATTGGCGATTGAGATCTCGCTTGATGTTTTTGTCGAGCAGTCCTTGTGTTCTCCACTAGTTTGGAGGCTTTATAGTTAGACAGGGCTCTTGCGGTCCGGTATTGTTAGATTAGCAGCACCCAGGCATCGTTGTATGACCCAAGCACGGTAGCTGGAGCGTGTGAAGAACAGGCCTTCAACGCATTCAATTCACTGCTTCAATCCACCCGATCAAACCCAGGGAGCTTCTGTGAAAGACCCAACACAGAAGATCCCTGGGTTTTATCTTCCACGAAGCTCATGGTCCACCCTGAACCGCATCCGCACAAACCACGGCAGATGCGGATACCTGATGCACAAATAGAAAATTTAAAACTCTCCAGTGTGCAAATGTGGGCATCCAGAATAGACCGGACAACATAGAACGACCCGATCAATAAATATGAACGAGACATTACGTAGAGCGATATGCTCGGCTACTCCTGATAGTTATCTGGTTTGACCACCTAAATGCGAAATTGTAGCTGTTGCCCTGCATCTACATCAGCCATATGAAACAAGATTGAGGAGTGTGTGTTGACATTGTGTCATTTAATAAATCGCGTAAGTACTGTACTGTATAAAAATGCATCTGCACTATAGGAACTGTAGGGGGCAACCTTGCCTCATTATTTTAATCATAAGCAGGGCTTTTTGGAATTCAAAAGTGGAGCACTTTCCACTTTTAACCTTGCAGTGGCTTGTAATCATGAACATTTCCACAGCCATAATCATTGGAATTTCCATCACATGTAGGATTGAGCAGAATGGCTGTCAACTTTTCCATGACAAACTGATGACTGATGACATCACTAGGTTTTACCCTTGCTGGCAATAAAACAGGTGTTAAGATATCCTTTGGGTCTTTCGGTAAAGTCACGTAGATAGGTTCAAAGAAAATAACAAAAACTCGATCTCAACAGAATGACGATCGCTTGTGTTGCGATCGAAACGTCGTAGTTTTTTCTTATTTTTTGTTATTTTATTTGAACCTGTCAACGTGAGTTTACCGAAAGACCCAAAGAATATGAATTCCTGCAGTCACGAAAGCTTTAAGTCAAGATTTAGGTGTTAAAATGTTCAAACACCAAATAGAAACCTTTTGCAAGGAATGAAGTCCGCATTGACCACGTGTCCTTGTGGTGAACATGCAAACAAACATGCTCTGATATCAGCTGCTCACCACAAGTACGTGTGGCTAATGCAGACGTAATCCCTTGCAAAAGTTTTCTATTTGGCATTTGAACATCTCAACACCTCCTGTTTTATGGCCAAAAAGGGTAAAATCTATTCTTATTTTTTTCATACATTGATGCTGGCAAAAAGGCCCAATTTTCATGACAGCACATCGCACGATGAACCACCACACACGACAACAGAGGACTTCGCATAACACAACACTCACACTACTCAAGTATTTTTTTTATTGTTTCCGCTGGGGAGATGCGCACAAAGTACAGTGATAAAGAAGCCATTTATCAGCATTATTATATTCATCTCTACGACACCAACATTGATCAGCCTGTAAAGGTGTCAAGCAGTATAATTATGGATAATCAAAGGAAATTAAGTGTCGAGGAGCGAGTCGGTAATGGGGAGACAGAGTTCCTGTACTCTGTTTCTCGTTGTATTACAGTACTAGCATCTGGTGTAAAAAAGTTGATTTGAAGTGTAAAAACAGTGGGCTTACATTCAGTGGTCGGGTATAGTTAACACCTATACTTGTTAACTATACCACAAATTAACTATACCTGTTGCAGGATACGAATATGGACACAGACCAAACTGAAATGCCTCCCCAAAATCCAAAATGTTCGCACTTCTTAGAATACAATCTGCTTTAGTCAAGGCACAGTGTGTGTGTCTACTGTGTTTTAGTTTGCAAAAAGATATTTTACTAGGCAATACAAGCTGAAATGTTAGAACAAAAAATCCTCTGGCGTACATTAAACAAAATTGTCAGACCAACTTGAAACATTTCTCCAGTTAAGCGAAGACTCATTGAAAGATCAACTCCCTTACGATTTTTTAAACTGGATTCTCAGCAGTGATTGGCAGTCAAAATGGATGCACGTGTTTAAAGGTTGGTAAAAGTGACAGGTAATGGTAATGCTTCTGTATATTTAAAAATGTTTTCTAATGTAATCACGGACGCTTGATGTAGAGTTCTCGAATGCATGCACCGTGATATGTTCGTGATATAAGATGACGAGGTTTACCGATTGCACCAACAAGGCACGTCGTGAATGGACTTGTTACATATATTGTGCATGGCATGCGACATTGCTTACTCTTGGAAATACCGTGCGAGACAATTTGGAACAGGATAAAAAAACTAAAACCCACCACCAATTCTGAGAATCCCTTTACCACGTGTATTGTGACTTGCCTACTTGTCAATCAATACGGTTTACCCTATTCTTGTACAGGGAAATTGAGTTTTCAGGTCCAAACACCATACAGCCGTTTCAATACGGGCAACAACAAAAACGTGTCTATTTTTTGTGTTTCTCCTTTGTGATGGGACTTTGTAGGATGAACGTTGAGATTTACTTTTATTATTTTATTACTTTATTTTTATTTTATTACTTTATTTTTATTTTTTTATTACTTCCCTTCTACGTGACTTTACCGAAAGAACCAAGAAGATGAATCCCTGCAGTCACGAAAGAAGCTTTAAATCGAAATTTACAGGGTGCTTAAAAACAAATGTGAACACTTCTGAGACTTTGCAACAATACCACAAGAAATATGCCTCCGGGCTCTGGAGACCACGTGGAAAAGATTCCAGGCGTGTGTCGACAACGCTGGCGAACAAGTGCAGACGGACTTTTTGAAGCTACTAATATACATTTGTTACCATGTTACAGTTTATTATGCGTTCTTTTTCCATTCATAAACGATAGTCCCATATAAGTGTTAACGTTTATTTAAAGCACCCTGTATAAGGGCACGGGGTGACCAATAAGGTCTGAATTGGTCTGTAATAAGGTGGGCACTGAGACGGGGTTGACAGGTACGCGTTTTAGGACATCACTACCGACTACAGCTTGAGTTTATTTCAAGCTCATGTTTGCTCGTTTGGTGTCAGCCAACGCTGTGTTTGTGTGTGCTCACGTGACTCACAAGTCAGCAGCAGAGGAGGTTAAGAGTCCACACGCAATGTAGCCCCATCATTGCTTGCTGCTCACTCGTCTGTTTTAAAGTGGGGTATGTGTATTTGTGTACGTAAAATAACATAACAATTTAGCCATTTATTTACCTTACAATTCCGTAACGCCGAAATTAAACATTATCTGCATCAACAAATAGTATTTAAAATGAATGCACATGCTGATTTTCAGGTGGACAGATTCAAGTTATTTTATTTATTTCGTTCGCACCTTGTGATTGTTATGTAGGCATTTTTCTCAAAAGTAATTTTTTTGCCATAAAAGAGATAGTCTCGCTAAAGTCATGGAAACAATTACCCGTTAAAATAATTGCTTTGAAACATCAATGGAAATGTAATTATAATTATCTTTGTAGCTCCTCTGCTCCGCCACGTTTGAATATTTTCTACAGCAGCCTTTGGGAGTGGACTTCGATGTAAGAACGCCTGTTTGGTCTTACCTGCGTGCTTTGGCTTCATTATACATTCACAGTTATTGTTCCGATATTTATTGGGGCTACCTCTTCATTATACAAACTATGCATACTCACTACCGTGACAGTGAAGCTAATTTTAAACCCCGCGTGAAGTGTGATTGGTTGTTAACGTAAATCAAACAACAAAAACATATTCAAAACAAATCTCGAAACAATATTAACATTGTAAGACTTGAGAAAATAAAACAAACCAGATCCAAATTTGTATTATAGTCGAAAAAAGCGTGTATAATTCAACAACGCAGGCGCCGATTATCTGACGTGCACCCTGTGGCTCTACTTTGGCAATCGCAACGATCTCGATTCACGTGGCTGTGCGTCAAGGGTCGTGTGGATGTCAGTAACTCTGCCTCGCTACCCTCTCTGCTGCTGACATAAGAGTCACGTGGGTATGGATGTGCACCCGCGGTGGCGTCACTGGAGCTTTCTTTTCCAGCCTGCAGGCCAAGCGTTCACGGGTGTCCACTTATAAGACTGTTCAATGGTTATGAATATGTAACTCAACTTACATGATAACGTTTTCAATATTTGCTTTATTTTACAACCTTTTTCTGCGTGTGTGTTTTCTGTGTATGCAGTGAAACATATAGACCGTCACACGCAATATTTCCAAATCCACACATGTGCAGAGTATAAGGTAGGGTGCCAATGATAACCGCAAAGAAAAAAAACAAAGAAAATCGGCTTTATACAGGAAACTACTTGAACTATGCTTTAGAATGTTTCACTTGACCTTATACGCTGCAGAAGTTTGTGGATTTGTGTTTGTGAAAGTAGGGAGCACTACTACATTTAAAATAATTTCCTAAACAGCCTTTGGAGTGGATTTAAATGTAGATGAAAGCAATATTTATTTTTTATATAGTATATATATCGTATACTGTGCAGTTACTTGAACACCCACCACCACTATCCCAAGCCAATTAACTAGTAGACAACCACTTGCCAGCTTGGCATGGCTTGGCCAGTTGACAGACACCCCGTTGCAATGCATCCCAGACACCCCACTCCCGAAAAAATGATGCCATAAGCACAGGCCTAGATGGGATTGGTGTTCACCTAAGTAGGGTATGGTAGTTCACGTACGTGAGCATTTCCGAGCATCTGCCTGAACTTTGGAAATTGAGGTATTCATCACTCGTGGTCCCGTTGTGTACAGACCAGTTGGTCTTTTATTAGGATGGCAAATACATTTCAGATCCTGCCATTTGACCAGAGATTCCCACTTTGAGTATCCTCTACGCAACAAATAATCAATCCCAATATCATAAAAGTGTATCATGTCACAATAAAGATATATATAGCAAGCAAATTGCATTTCTGTAATATATTGGACAAAATGTTTGGCCTGTGGGAGGGGTGGGTCAAGGGTAGAGGTGGAGAACTCTTTCATTCCTGAGGGCCTAACAGGACTTTGAAATAAGTTTAGTGGGCCACAGGTTAACACACCACTCATTCACTTCTTTCGTATGTTGAACTTATTTTGCACCATACATAGTCACCCGTGCTAATCGAAAGGCCCTTACAGTGGCAGAGGTGACTGAGCATGAAAAAATTAGAAAGTGTCAAAAATATTCTCTTCTAGTACCCAATTAGGGCAGCCAAGATACAGGGATGGACAGATACATTTTCAGCGGTCTCAAAGTGGTACATGTCTCATGGCTGCGGGCGATATGAGGTGAACTCGTGGGCCGAATTTGTTTCGCAGGCTGTAGGGTCACCACCCCTGGTCGAGGGGATGGCTATGTGGCCTGGATGGGAATTGAACACACGTTGAACGTCTAGGGGGCATGGGCCCACGATGGACCTGGGAAAGTGATTAGTTTAGGAGCACACCAAAGTGGGCTGTTCCCACAAAACCAAATATGCCTGCCATCTTGGCAAGTACAGTAATATAATTACACAGTCTATTGCATTATAATCATATGTCTTTGCTCACTTTGCCTATCCATTATGATTATGCCAAAGTCAACAACTTAAGTTTGGTGAGAAGAAATAAAGGAATCTGTGTGGGGCTGGAGAATAAGATGAGAGAGGACCAAGTCATTACACCAAGCGCTCCTCCTGCTCATCAAGGATGGGCTTGGACTCCGGGCACTTGCGCAGCACTGTGGAAGAAAGGCAATTATTTTAGCTTAGAGATCTCTAATTAAATAATACATGCCTAAATATTAATTACTCAAGATGATCTGGTAGCTCAGGGATCAGAGCACTGAGCTGGAACCCTGAGATGCTTGGTTTGAATCGAGGCAGCCACTTGTGATTAAATCAGGCTCTTAAGTCCATTGAGTGGATCTGAGTCTGTTTACCAAAACATGATTGCCTCTTTATTCCCGAACTTGCTATCCGTGATTTTGGCTGTCCGCGAATCGAATTGGCAACTATACACGAATGCATCCAGAGAGAGAGAGAAAGAAAGTGATGAGATAAAGTGATGAGGATAAAGCATATGATAAAGATAGGTTGTCGTAGGCCAATATCACTATTCACCAGCATCTCCGAAACATATCCCTCATGAAAAACAAGGGAATACTGTAATTGCACATTAGACCATGGTTGACATGTGACAAACATTTTTTGCAAGGTGTGCCTCTAAAATGGATGAACAAGTCTATTAAAGTAACTACAAAAGCAGTTCTGTGAGACCATTTTACAGGGCCATTATCTGACAGAGTGATGCACTGCTCGATGCAGAGTTCCAATTGCGAAGTTTCTCTATGTCATGACATGTTAACACCAAAAAAAATGTGTGCTTACGATACCATTGGTATACATTGCATTGTAGGGCATTTAATTTTGTAGCTGCAATAACAACTGCAATGTGGTATGCAATGTTGTTGACATTGGGACCATCCTCAAGGCCGCCACCCTAAAATGGTGAATTCTCTGGGCATGTCGCTGGCAGTGAAGCTGGATGCCGTGTTTGGAGCGACACGTACGTTTGGTGATGGAGTGGTTGGGCAGGCTGCTCTCCTTGATGGCCGCCACGGCCGACTTGCGGTACTTGATAGTGACGGCCAAGACAGCGAGAGTCCCGGCTATGGTGACAAGCCCAACGGACGCGTAGAGCCACAGCTTGCCTGGGAGACACGCAGTGTGCATGATAACTCTGTGATCAGGGCAGCTGGAAGCGAGGAATGTGAATGTCCTGTGCTGATCGTGCACCGTACAGAGAGCAGCATGTACAGCACAAAGGCACAGCACAGCTTATTGGGCAAAGGAAAGAGAGGCAAGATACATACTGTACAGATGGTATGGGGCACACTGAACACATTCTTTCGGAAAAGTAAACGCCGTCAACAAAGGGTGGGAAAGCGTAACAATCTGCAGAATAGGGCACATTGCTGCTGGGATTTGTGGATAGATGGGGCACACCATACAGGGCAGCACTCTCAAGGCCCAGTGCCAAGGAAACACGAAGCAAGGACATGCAGCAATCCGGGAAACGTGCCAGGAAACTAAGGGCAAGTGGCGTAGGACAGCAACAGAGCGCACAGCCAGGCAATGGATGGATGGCGCTGAGGATTAATGTGCACTGAGCAGAAGTGTGAATGAGAAATCGAAGTGTGAAGGGAGGTTTGCATTGGGCCACTGGCCATCCGAATGTTTGCGGGGCGAGATGGTCCTGGAGATGGGCCATCTTGTAACACCGCACAGCTGCCGAGTTGATTGAAGTTACGGTCCGAATATGAAGCAGCCCAACTCCAGGTCTGGCTTAACGTTGCATGCGACTGGTTGCCAAGAGGCCCATTTCACCGTTGAATGAGGAGAGGTAAACAGGATCATGGTTCAGTGAGTAAAGTATGCAGAAGAATGGTGAGCGAGTGGAAACTCATGATTTTAGCTCACATACACTGAATCAATACTTTTGTAAATATGAATGTTTAAAATGTGTGTGGTGCACCATTCCTCCTTCTCAAACTGCAGAGCCTTTTGCTTTGTTTATTGTCTTATTTGCCCTGGTATGTCCTCATTTTGTAATGTTTATATTGATATGGTTGCCTTGTACAGTGTACAATTCAAATTATTACGTATTATTAAATACTCTCAGAAGCGGATTAACTAAAGCTACTTTGACATGCTTTTTTCTTACTCCATAATTGAACGTTATTGTTAAAAAAAAACAAATGCCCAGCAGCACATTCAAGCATGGCCTATGTCATCAGAAATGTTCTCCTCTGATTAATGGAATATTTTAGTGCTGGTGAAAAGCTGTCTGCTATGCTTTCACAAGCTAATATAGGAGCACTCACAAGAGTGACAAGCAACAACACACTGCTCTGTATGGGTTTGTGTATTTAGAATTCAGCGTGTGTTTATAATTAGAGTGCCTGCGTGCATTGGCCAGCATTTGTGATAACATGCACATCGGTGTGTGTGTAGGGGCGTAAGCGGGGTTCAGTGTGCAAGCCCAGCCTACATGGCCAAAGTCTGTGACTATGGTTTGTCTCCCAGTGTCTTTGCCTAATTGTTGTTTACCGTACAAGATGCCAATATTTACCACGAAAAGACTGAACATCAAAAGCCATGTGTTTAATTACCACTGCCGTCCTACGTGTCTTGGTTTGCGTGTGGATCTAAGAGTTTGTACTGAGAAAAGGGCGAGTGCTGCTAATTGTGCGTGTATATGTGCCACCAACTTCCTGTGAAGCTGAACGTGTTGGGATCGTGAGCAATCTCCTCCTCGTCATTGATCTCCTCCAAGAGACTGGTGATCTTCTCCGCCTGGACCCCGGCATGCTCCAACTCATCCTCCTCCGTCTCTTCCACTTCTTCCTTCTCCCACCTCTCATTGTCCTCCTTCCAGTAGTCTCTTTCTTGGGACGAGGCCATCTCCCCTTTATTGTTGCCGTCTTCCTCAGCCGCACCTGATGTGGAGAGAACAAAAGTTTGTTTCAATGCCAAGTTTGTTAAGTCATCTATTTATCCCAATCTTGGATACTCCTATCAGCAATCTTATCTTATAGAAATTATATACAGCGCCTTACTCCAAGGCGCTTTACAAAAATAATAAAATTGTACGTAAGAAGAAAGTACGTGGTTAAAATAATGAGTGTCGTTAATAAAAGTGGTGGTGTAGTTATGGTGACATGAGGACAGGTGGGAGTGGTTAAGGAGGGGTTAAGGGTTGGGGGTCCTGATAGGGGTTGAGATAGTGATAGGTTTCGTGGTAGTGATAGGGGTAAAGGTGATGATCGGAGTTGGGGAAGGCCTGGTCGTAGCTCGGGTGCAGGGGGGAGGAAGTAGAAATAGCAAAATGTTCTGGGTAGAAGATATGGGTTGTTTTAAGGATGGAATGGAAGCAGGTTATGGCGAAGATGATTCTTTTATGTGCAGTGGGAGTTTGTTCCAGTGAAGGGGAGCAAGAAGGGAAAAGGAACGAAAGTGAGACTGGGCGCAGGGCGAGGGAGGCACACGGAGGGACGGTAGAGACTGGGAGAGTAGAGGACAAGATGGGGCAGAGGAGTAAGATCCAGTCAGAACTCTCACGGTAATTAAACGTTCATAGAGGATCTGGTCACAAATTATGTTTATGAAACTAACAAGTGTTTTTGAGCACCAGCCAGGGTATGAACATGGTTCACCTCGCTGCTATAACGCATTTTAGTACACATACTCATGCCAAAAAGAGTTGCAAGTACTGTACTGCAATAAATAAAATCAAATACAGAGCAAGATAATACAATTCACAGTAGAATGTGTACATTTTATTTTCTGCACAGAAAGCAAGATGCGTTTAATCGCAACATTGAACTATATCTTGAATCACTGAACATACAAAAAAAATGTCATTGGACACGTTGCTATTGCTTCTATCATTTTGCCAAGGCCCTGCAGCTGTTGCGATGTTGACTCTCATGTCCTAAAACGTTTTGCATTGCCACGTGCCACCTCTCTGGCTTCAGGTCTTCCACTTGGTTACCGACTTGAGATGCAACTTCACTATCTGTATTTAACTACCCCCGCGCCAGCCCCCTCTATATGCTGCGTAGATGTCCCGCTGTAGTGCACGTGGGCCTGCTTGCAAACTCCAATTGATAATTTGAGAAGTGATTTTCGTCAAGCGCAGAGGTTTGGGGTATACGTTAAGATGGTGTACTGTAATAAGGTTAAAAAGGGAAGGAATTAGTGATGTCTTGACAAACCAATGTTGTGGAAATAGACTCTCATTTTAAAAGGGGGGGGGGGGGGCATAAACGATAACAGTTTGCGTTTCATGTAGCACGAGTTGAATTCCCTCCCTGGCCTGCTGTTCTTATCAACAAGGTCACATATATTGTTAACCGTTATCTTGTTGAGAGAGGAGAGGAACTCTGTGTGCCCGTGAACTTTGGGGGAGACTCGGAGACGCGAGATTGTTTTTGCAAGCTTCAAAATATGATTTATATCTGTTAATAGCATGGAGAGAAGATTTCAAATATATTGTGAAATGGCGCAGTGTGCGCACCAGCTGTTTATGCTAATTCATTGCTTTTCGTCAGACATCACATTACATTTTATATGTCAGTGTGGTTAATGCACATACGGATGTAGCTTCCAGATAAATTCTCCATAAACATAGCATGGTCGAACACATATGTACTATCGATTCATAGCCTACTCCGGAAAAAGAGTTGTTCGCAAAATGTTTACTGGTTTACCAATTTAAAGTTTTAAGTGCCACGTCTGCATCACTGTAAAGATGTTGGCGTCATTAAAGAAGAAGCCAGGTTGTTGTCAACGTGTGCGTTATTTCATTTATCATGAGGTTTGGCTCGCTTTGCCGATTCTACCTTTCCTTTTGACGTCGTTTTGTATCGTTTTCCGACTGTGCGTTCTGATGTACGGTAGATCACCAGGAGAATGCCATTTTTGACAAGGGCAACATAGTTATGCAAACGACAGACTTGCGGCTTGAACGAGTCTGGTCTAAACTTGACATGCCGCCGTGAAGAGAAGCCGCTCGGAAAGAGTTCGAGCGCAACGGAGAAAATATTCGCGCAAGACTCCGCAAGTGACGACGGCGAGCGACCGAGGCCGTTCGCTGCATGTCCGGGGCCTTCGTGGGCCGCCCCTTGGCCACTCAAGCCAGGGCGTAGAAGAAAACTACGTTATATCCTTGCCTAAAGCAGAAGAGAGACAGAGGGGGAAGAGGAAAAGTGACATTGTGCAGTGTGGCTGCATAACCTGACATCATGGTCGACAAGGAATCGGTGAGCAAACTGCTCTGAAGATATTGTATCAATGGCTCACTCGGCTTCATGAGCACCCTAAAGCCAAGGCTGTTGTCAAGTTGAATGAGGAAACATTGAATGACACGACCAAGCTATGTAGACCCACTCTTAAGTGAATGCTCACGTAACCATCGCCTCCTGTGTTTGTGTGTGTTTATATTCCCTGCATCTGTCAGTCGGCTTTTACTTAAGTATAAAGACATTATCTGGATACCTGAGAGTGGGTTTGCTAAATTTCGAGTTGATTAATTTTGAAAGTGAGAAAGTCTTTGGTAAATGCCAAGACAACATTAATAATTAACCAGACCTGCCTACACTACAAAATCCATCATCAAAACCTCATTCTAATTACAATATGTTCGTTAATAAATCCCGAACAGTTTAACACGTAGGCTTTCGCGGCCAATATTATTCATAATAAAGGTTTTTTTTTGTTTAGATGACGTAAACATAAATGTGTTATTAACCCACCACCACACGACAGCCAATTAGTAAGGTTTGTCATGTAAACAAAACGTTCCAATTAGTTACAACATCAGTACACTACAGTAGTGTGTTGGAGAGTAAATGCAAAGAATATGAAACCCACAACATTTACAATTTGAGTACGACATTTTGCTTGCGATTACAACCAGCTTCATCAAGCGATGTGCCAAAATTGTGAAGCAGTCTTCCTGTTTGCGGGCTTCACACTCAAATTAAAAATGCTACGCAAATTTGGACTTAAGAATAATTGCATATATATACCGTATATAAATGAATGGGCTGCTGCAGGAATCAAACCAATGAATTTTGGCAAAAACTGACTCAACATCAACTTCACGCTCCCCCGGCAGGCTGTATAATCCATCCTTATTATGGTTTGTCAACGCAGACGCAGTACAATGCCATAATTAGAAATCTTTGGGTTTTTTTTCATTGAGACTACGGGGGGCTTGTGTTGCACGGACAGCCGTTTAGCACCACTTGAGATGTCTGGCAAAAGGGAAACAGCAGCACACGGGGAATCTCAGGAAGTGTACAGTGCCCTCAGGCTGCTTGCCAGGAAGGGAAATCCGCTCTGGAGCTGCTTTCCTCTGCATATCAAATATGTTGTGATTTTTTTTCTCTCTCTGTTCCATTTGACAAATTGAAATCATTTTTCATTTCCTGTATTGGGGAAACCATACGGTTATGTATTTCGCGGTGCTTTCCAAATACTGCTTTACAGAAGTTCCATATCCCGGAGAGCACGTACAAGTTGTGTGTGTGTGTCACATGCACCGATGTATTAATTGACCAATAACGCCTTCATTGGCTGATAACATCTTGATATATATGGGACCGCAAAGCTTGGGCAATTGTTGGTGCCGGCTCATCGCGTGGCTGCTTGAATGTGGTTCCTCCTCGCACGTCTCTGACATTCCCTCCCTCTCTCTCTAAAGGAGTGGGCGAAGACTGTGTCGGTTATGAGTTGAGAATGACATTTTCTCTCTATGTAAAAGATGCACAAATGTACGAATAAAGCGAATTTGCACCTGCTTTTCTCCACGTAAGTACGGTACTCGTGCATACACCGCACCCGCACGACACAAGCTCACAAAACACGCACATCAGTGGTCATGTAAGAATCGATTATTGTAATTATATACAAATCATATGTTACTTATCATGCTCGTGTAAATGTAAGCTAAGAATGAACAACATTTCACAAGTAAAATGAGATTAAATTGTCAATTTGTTGAATCGAATCATATCTAGAAATCGAATCGACGAGGCAAGTGAATTTGTGCATGCCTGCCTGATCTGCACACGTTCAACAAGTTATGCAGCGTAATCGTGAGCTCACACGCACATTGCCTCTACAACCCGAGATAGTTTTTACATCACCGCAAAGCGTTGTAAAGGATCAAAAGGGCATTGAGATGTATTATTAATGTTTAATTCGTGCAATAGATATGTCTTGGTCATGGATTTTTGGCACGTGGCCACTTTGCACAAGAAAATGCAGCCTGGCAAACGTCTCGAGATGGAATGAAATCTGTCAGGCATCTGCTTACAAGGCAAATGCATTGCCCCCAAAATGAGCATTCATGAAAACATTTCACTTCATTTTAACTTTTAACTACCCTAACAAAAATGTCACCGTGGCGACAGCAATAGCCCCCCCTTTTCCCCTGGAAGTGCAATTTGTTTTGTGAGCATTTCCCCCCCTGCAACCATGGCAATGGCTGAGGCAATGGCTGCCACTGATATTGAGGCGATCCTTCAGGGCGCAGTTGGAGATGCCGGCGCTGTTTGCATTTCAGCCTGGTAAGCGGCCAACTCGGGAGAGAAAAACGAAATAATAAATAAATGACCCGCTGTGCGAGGATCAAGTGCACCTTAGCTTTTGAGCCTTTGTCTAATTGACGTCAAGTGAGTTCCATGTGGCCTGTCATGTTCAAATGTTATAGGTTGAATCACGGCTGCCCATCATTTTCACAATTTACATTATTGTTTATTTTTTATTTGCGTTTGCTGGCTGCAGTTATGGGCAATTACATAGTCATTGCAACAACGCATCTCCTCCATATTTCTCACACACCTATGTATGTATGTTGAACTTCTTTCGCACGGTAGGTAGCCAACCGTACAACTCACTAATTCGGCTGATTCTCATCAATACGATGTTT